CCAGGAACTGCACACTGCATCTGTATCGCATTTCGTCTCACAGCAGTCAAACGATGTCGCACTCAAGCCCAGGAAGTCAAGGCCGACGGACTTCATGACCTGCTGATCACCACGGAGGTCAAGCTGATTCAGGTCTCATCACCACGGCCCACTATGGATACATTCTTGTTTGTTCGTCCGTGGAATCGTTATGTCCTCGAGCTTCCCGACGTTGCTGCCAACGACACGCAGAGCGAAGAAGATTATTGATATGTGCCCGGGTCTCCATTATAGTATTCGCCTGGCGTGTTCCCTGAAGCACAGGAGTCGGTTTATTCAGAACTGAGTGATGGAGCCTTGCGATTGACTGCTCGCCTTGAACAGCCTTTTGGCGCACTTTTGCTAGCGCAGCAGCCGGGCGGAGAGTACAAGAGAATCGCGTCAGATCATGATATTATTGCACAGGTCAAAGACCTTTTTCTATTTCAGACACGGTCAAGATGTTAGGGATATTGTAGCAGCATGCATTTTTGGTGTTATGTACCAAGAATGTGAATCTCACGTATGAGACAAGCAATATCCACGGAATGTCCTCGAAGCCGATCTACAAGCAATGTCACAACCGGCCACTTAATGCTCACCCATGGGCTGCCCTGCGGCTAATAGTTGTGAATCGGATGGATGGGGGAACATAATCTTCATGACGAATCGTCATCGTCAGCATCATTGTGCTGCAAATGGATATGTGAGACCTGGACTACAGCGAGAAAAATCAACCGGGCATACCAGTTGACCGGGGCAAGACGAGCATTGGAAATTGGTGGCAATGCACGAACGGTCCATAGGTGAGGTTGGCGGGCTTTGCAGATTGTAGGAGTAGTAGCAGATGATTGGTGGGTGGGTGGGTGGTCGAGACTGAAAAAGATGTAAGTTGGAAAATGTGATAGTGGACATTGACACTCACGTTCTCGCATAGATCTGTGTATGGCCGTCCTCCGTGAGTAGTGGACTGCAGTGAGGGAGAGCAGTTAAGAGGTAGGGACAATGTAGCAGGTAACTGTAAGGAGATCTTCGAGTCAAGTATGAAGGAAACAAAAGAAGAACGTACGTCCAAGGGATTACGAATGTTAGCATTCCAGAGAGGAACTGTGTCCATGCAAGAAGAGGAAGGAAGGAGTTTGCGAAGGTAGGTCGCTACGAGTGTATTATAGGTGATTGTATTAGCGGCTGATGAGCGAAAGATGTGACAGGCGAGATCACTGGCTTACAACGCGGTACAGCAAGAGGTGTTGCACCGGACTGCAATAATGATATCTGACAAAGTGGTTTACATTAGGGATCACGTACGTCGAGTAAGTCAGCGAGGCGAGGAGTTTTAGCTGCACTTGTCTGCAAAATGATGTTAGTGCATAACGGATAGATCTGCGTGCGTGAAATGCATACACTGGACTCTTCTTGTTGTAGCCAAAATGCTACTAAGGATATCGGATGGTGTCGCCTATATAGATATTGCCAGTGGTGCAGGCCGGCATGTAAACCAATTGGCATGAGTCAGGTGAGCAGATGATGTAGCGAGGATGTCGGACATCAAACGAGGCGAGGAGCTGGCGGAACTCGAAGGCCCAGCGCTTGACGGCGTGGTCATGGGCAGGGCTGACGAGGAGAGCACAATCAAATGATAATGCTAGACCTATGACAGTGCACCCTTCAAAGCTTGGCGTTCCGACCTTCTCCAGCATCGAGGCCCATCAGACTCGCAAACTGTCTTCAGGCCGTGATCGGACGTGTGATTGGCGACGTTAAAGCTATGGTGGCAGATCCATTGCTCGCCACTCGGAAGATTAAGAGTGAAAAGTTCATGATCGGTGTCAATCAAAATACTCCGTGATTGTTGCCTTGTAGAGATTTTGTGCGGGTGCTGGATCCAGGCCTCGGGGTTGCATGATAATGATATCTGCGTGACGAAAAACGAAGCGGCGGGCCCAATTCTTGCCAGGGTAAACATCTCAAATACTTGAGCACGCCGGGGGGTTGTTGAATGAGTATGGTGGTCCCACCAGTACCTTTTCTTGAGATTCATTTAGTAATGATTGCCGAGTGCCATGATTGCGTGAAGCACATCTTGAACTGTCTGTAGGGGCACCTGGAAGAAAATTGAGTTACATCAAAATTGCTGAAGGAGTGCTTACCATGTGAGCTATAGCAGCACTCCGGAAACTGCTATCAAGGTCTCATGGATGGATGTAAGTAAGCCTCTTGGGTGGGATCTCTGGGACCTTCCTGCTCCCCACCAACTTGAGTGCGCGCCATCCTACGGACTCATGTTCCCGTTGACGTTCAAACTTCAGACGCGTTGCCACTAACGTGTCTGAGTTTCAAACTCCGACACAGCAGGGGGCCGTAGTGCACTGTGAGTTGGCAATGAGTGTGACTCGGTCGGTTTATGTCCACCCCGATGATGACGCGGCCGTTGTATACTGCATTGTCCCATGTCAAAAGCCATCGGCTCATTTTCAGGAGGAAATGAAGAAAATTGATATAGTCAAATGAAATGACATGAGAATTTAACGCAACGGCCGAAGGTCACTGGTCCCCTTGTATTATGTCATAAGGTCGTTCATAACGAAGAAGCGCATCACGACCATGTTTCTTATTTCTGTTCAGCTTTCTGAGATAAATGCCCATGGAGGACCCTAGACTAATATTCATTCAATGTTGCACAGGGACCTTCAATTTTGAATTCATGTCACGGTGGGCCCGGGATTGACGTGTACCATCCTGGATTTCCTGTACTACATAGTAGGCCGCCGAGGTATACGTGCGAATCGGTGCGATCACACCCTTAAAAAGAGGAGCAGATTGAGCAAATGTATGCCTTCAACTTCATCATGACCTTCTTACCCTTGGCCATCCTATTACTGTTACGCATCCCATTTGTTTCCTCCTCACTGCTGAGCCTCGATGGCACCGGTGTCATGACACTCGACGTTAGTGACCCTTCATCCTGCAACAACATCAGAACCTTGTGGGATATCATCTGGAGTTGCGCTGCGACTCTATTTGCATGCACATGGACTGCAGTTCACCCAAACATCCCGGGTATGGACGAGGGGAAATTCACTATTCTATCTCGTCACCTAGGCATCATGCTGGTGGCGCTGCTCGCCCCAGAACTCATGATCACCTGGACCACGCTACAGTTTCTAAGTGCTCGTGACGCTGAAAAGGCCTTCAATGATGCCTTTGGTGCGCAACTTCACCAGGCCCGCAATGACCAACCAGATATAGGAGAGAGCACAGATACATTGATCAGTGAATTTCAAACGTCAGATGAAAGCAACAGTCTACATCTGAGCACTCCGCATGTTGCAAGCCGTAATTTTAGAGGTTGGTGCCTGCTCAGTATGTCAGTGCGGTGACTGACTTCGTTCAATGGATGTTTCACAGAATGGACTGTAACACATGGTTTTTTCGCGTGGATGGGTGGATTTATGCTCTACGTCAATGACAAGCCGCGAGCCACTCTTACACCCGACGAACTATTAGGCTTTGTTCGTGAGGGCTCTGTGGAGATGCCTGTCATTGTGGAGGCAGACATAGAAAATCGAAGCAAGGGTGATGCATTATCCAAAGGCATCGCCGTTCTTCAGCTGGGATGGTTCGTCCTCCAGCTTGTCGCCCGTTACGTTCAGAATCTTCCCATGACACTGCTTGAAATCGACACCCTGGCTGTAGCTGGCCTGACCTGCATTGCCTATGGCTTTTGGTGGAAGAAGCCTAAGGATGTAGGACGTCCTCGTGCTGTTTATTGGAAAGCAACCGCCTCTCCGCCAGACGAATTAGCCTACGAGTATGTCGCAATATTCTCACTTGAAATCGTTCTAATTCGCCTGTATTCTAGGATTGTAGATGAGAGATTCTACTCCAAAGGTTTTGGTGGCTTTGTGACCGCTGTTGTTCTTACGCCTTTGAATCTTATGGGCATTTGGCTTTCTAATTCCTCTCGTGCTGTCCGTTCACGTCGGGTTCCGTCTGCAGGTGGCTATGATGAGGGCAGTGTCCGCCGTCATCGAATCAATGTACTTCTCATTGGATGCTTAAGTGGGACAGTGTTTGGAGGGATACATTGTCTGGGTTGGAACATTGCGTTTCAGCGGCAAGCAATGTTCCGTGCGGCTTGCGTTGCGATAGTAGCTACACCGGCATTTACTGTTCTGCTGCTGACCTACATCATTTGGGTGGATGGTTCAAACATGGCTATCGTACTTGTTGCTTCATACGCCATCGTTTGCATATATAGCGGTGCACGTGGTATACTACTTGCAGCTATATGGATGAACTTAGAATCACCTCTTCCTGGTGTATACGATACAGTAGCTTGGACCAAGTTTATTCCACATTTGTAGTTTCCTTTTTACTTACATTGTGATTCGTGATCATAATCATAAACTTGCTGCCTCTTGTGATCAAAGATGCAAGCACAGTTCGGGTTAGTTTCAAGGTAAAGCTGGCTGTGCTGCATAATTGTGAAAGAACAACGAATGCGGCTCCAATATACAAACGCAATGTTACTACGTGGATGTCAGGCGAGGGGATAACACAAAAGGTCTGATGTGGTGACTCAATTACCAGATCGAGAAGTAATCTGAAGTCTCTGTTAGATAGAGCGAGGATGTTGACCTGGCGTTTGAGTTCTGTCAGGCCGGGGATGACGCTATTAAAATTAAAGGGTGATCGGTCAGGTTTGTCTCTGCACTTTCCTGAAGGTTCGTACCGTCCAAGTTGTGCCAGATCATGGTCAGTTCTTCACAATTGGATTCGCCCCAGACTTCTACAAGATGAGACCAGCGCGTGTATGACCTGAAATGGGCAAAAAGTGAGAGACATAGATGGTTCCGACTGGTATTTTTGCCAATACCTAGGCGCCGTTGACACAGACAGGCTGTTAGTTCCGTCGGCAAGTTTCGTACGATAGCCTTGGCTGGCCTTCTGGTCGAGTCATGCCTTGAAAGCAGCCAGGACAAAGGGCGAAATACCCTAAGCCAACCCTAAATTACTTATCTGTCTCAGTTCAATTTTCTATGCATGACCTCCCCGAGACCGCGGCGATCATGTTCAGAGGAATAATCCAAGTCCAAGGTCCCACCAACCTGCAGGTGAGTTCAGAGGATTTGCGAGATGAACCATTACATGGAAAGCTACATTGTGAAAATTCGTGGCTGTCGTCCCTCGTCCATGTCTTTGTCGTCAATTTCCTCACCAATGCCATCGTCAGCACTGCATGTCAAGCGCATTGGTGAGCACTTGAGCGCTGAATCCTGATCGATTCCATATTGCAACAACCTGCATAAGATGATCAAAAGACGCAGACTTAGAGTACAAGTTCCGTACCAGTGACTTGGTACTCCAACTCTCGCGAAAATACACCCGGCAGTACACATTGAATACGCAACCCAACAGCTGTGAGAAGTTCCGTCAGATAGTTATCATAATTTGTGTCACAGTTGATCATGCGCCCGAAGCCCAGCAAGCCACCGACGAACATGGCTCCATCATCCAGAGTAATAGTCATCGAGCGGGCAGTGGGAGAACCAAAAAGATGCCCAGCATGCCCAACCTCGCAGTATGGCTTATAAGTAGCTCAAGGAGGTGAAGAGGAGGTGTTACGAAGGTGTTACATACCATATTAGACGCATATGACAGATTCTCGCCGCCTTGCTTCATTGAGGCTTGAAGCTTGAGGAATGGTCCCTACTTTGATTGTCAATTTCCTGCATAGGCAAAATTGGTGAGGGGGAGGGAGGACTTCTTGTGTAACGCCACTGGATATATATATTTGCGCACTGTAATTCCATCATAATCACCATGTTTTCTGAACTGACGAGAAGATCATATCAATTATGTCGTTCCTGCAATGAAACGACACCCCAGTACCTCCGAGGCTATAAGACTGAGCCTACTGCGCATTGCGGTTCGTCGCGATATTTCACGTACGTGCTGCATTAGGTGAGCAGTAGGAGAATATAAAAGTGTTTAGCAACGTGCACGAGGCTAAGTGGCAGGAAATCCATGACTCACCGTTTGATTTGCTTGCGGGTAGCAAAGCAAGGGTGGGACGGAAATTAATATGTTCAACCTGTTACACCGAGTCTCCCATAGGCAGATTTTCTCCTGTTTGGCCCATCATGCTGTGTACTTCGGACCTTACTTACCAGTGCCTTCCAACAACCTCAAACCCTCACGGCATTCACGACAAATTAGACCCCAGACTCTACTCAACATGTTCGCTTCAGCTTATCTTTAGGTGTCACTCAGACGCCCGTGAAGAAGAGATTATTTGGAACAAATAGAATTACAAACCCGAAGAACAAAGATTCCAAGTATGTGGATGGAGCGAAGCATATCCCGGCCCGATCGTGGATTTACCCCAAGAGAGAGAGGGGTGAGTTGCAATGGATGGTGGCCAGCCTCGCATATTATCAATTGGTTGAAGAGATACACAGGTCGGGTCCACACGAGGGTAGGTAGGCTACTATGCAAGGCGTACCATGATCTGAGAATAGCTGTGATGGTGCAAGAGAGAGTACTAGTGGTGGGAAAAGAAATGCTCGACAACATATTCGTTGTCGAGCAGCTGAGGCGAACGAGCAGAAAGAAGCACCAACGGCTCTTTCCTCTCGCTCTAGAACGGGGGGAAGAGGAACTTGATCAGGCGAGGAAGAGGTGCAAACCGCACCTGCGTGATTTGGGTGCGGACAAACTACGGACAGACTAGAGTATATAGGCAGCATGTGTAGCTACAGGAGAAGGGGAAATTGAAGGAAGAAGGGGTCAGGCATCTGGGCAAAGGGTTACACGTCATCGATGAACATGGGCTGCAGTTCAAACGCCGATTCTGATCTGGCGTTCGTGCCTAGAGTCCCCAAATAACTTTGTGTTACAGTGTGTTGCATATGAGATTGCAGTGCGTGTTTTTCAAAACTCGGCCTCGCTACCTTTACCGGCACTTGTATACCTTAACTAGGTCAAGGGATGTGACATGTCACTCTAGCCACTGCCGCTTGATGAAACGAAACCTCAGTCAGTTCGTTATGCCAGGGTCATTCACTAGCCAGGAAATGCGCCAGAATATCGTATTCTGGCGGTTTGAACAGCACAGGACAGCTCTTGAAATATCTCAGCTTGCTCAATGCTCAGAGAAGACAGTATACAATATTCTTCGCTTGCACCGAGACTATGGTCAAGTCACCAACCCCTTTGCACGCCGCAGGGGTTGTCCCCGCGTTCTTGACACCGTCGACACCGAATACATCCATGCACTACTCCAGGCAAACCCTGCCATGTACTTGGATGAACTATAAGAACAACTTCTCACTGCTCGGAACAAAGACATTTCTCTCGCTACCCTTTCACGCGCCACTCGAAGGCTGGGAATGACCCACAAAGACATTTCCAAAACGGCTGCGGAGAGGAATGAGCTCTTGCGGGTAACTTGGCAAGCCGCATATGGGGATATACCGGCTGAATACTTTGTCTGGCTGGATGAGTCCAGTGTTGATGACAAGACCAATCAGAGGATGCAGGGATAGGCAGATATCGGGCGCGCGTGTGTTCGCAGATCAACTTTCATTCGAGGGCAGTCCTTCAATGTGTAGTACCAGTATATAGTGTAGTATGAATCCAACCACATCACGAACTAAATTGAGTGATGATGTAGGAACGACTCGGAGCATAGTCAATATCAATGAAAAACAATCTATAGTTAAGTCAATTAATGCGCTGCCTCTTCTCAGCTTTCTTCAAATCGAGACGAGCATTCCATGTCTTGCAGTACGTGAGCCGAGAATGCGGCAGATAGGTTAGAACGACTAACAGTATTCATCTAGTCAAAAAACAACAGGTCAAAGTCGTTCGTAAGTAGCGAAAGTGCAAAGACTCACATGTGGTGTGTTGGACCGCAGGTCGATGCTGATGGTGGTCAAAGCACTGAGTCACTCACACAGACGCACGGCGTATTACAAGATGTGACATCTAATTATGGTATACAAGTGCCGGTAAAGGTAGCGAGGCCGAGTTTTGAAAAACACGCACTGCAATCTCATATGCAACACACTGTACATAATTCTACTACGTCAAATGTTGCAGTGAACATTCGTCTGCCTCCGATAACCCGGTTCGAACATGCCATTTGATTTTTCAACAGCGACTTATTAGTCTGTCATAAGACTACCTTTCCGGACGGACACGTGAGTTTCAAGGGTCGACCTCGGAGTTGTGCCAAGCACCAGCTGACACAAGCGCTCAAGGTGATTTGCCAATGGTCTGGCAGGGAAACGAACGCCATCTTGGTTGAAAGCCTATCACACTGGTTGAGCTGATCGATACTCTCGCTTTCCACATATCACTGTGCCTAGAATGCTCTAGGCTAGCATTCAACGTGTATCATCGCAGATTCCCCGCACCGGTGGTGTATGCTGGCTTCGAGGCATGAGCACTTAGTGGAGCTTAATCCTCACACACTACGTGCGACGGCACCCTTAAAGAGAGGAGCAGATTGAGCAGTATGCCCTCGACTTTATCATGACCCTCTCACCCTTGGCTATCCCGTTACTGTTACTCATCCCGTTTGTTTGCTCCTCATTACCGGGCCTCAATGGCACCAGTGTCACTACACTCGACGTCAGCAACTCTTCATCCTGCAGTCATACTAGAACCTTGTGGGACATCATCTGGAGTTGCGCTGCGACTCTATTCGCATGCACATGGACTGCAATTCACCCAAACGTCCCAGGCATGGACGAGGGGAAATTCACTATTTTCTCTCGTCGCCTGGGCATTATGATGATGGCGCTGATCGCCCCGGAACTCATGATCATGTGGGCCACTATGCAACTTCTAAGTGCTCGTGACACTGCAAAGGACTTCAATGATGCCTTTGGTGCGCAAATTCACCAGGCCCGCAGCGACCATTCAGATACAGGAGAGAGTACAGCTACGTTGCTCGATGAAATTCCAATATCAGATGGAAAGAGCGATCCTCATGTTGCAAGCCATGATTTTAGAGGTCGGTTACCTGCTTGGCTCTTCGGTGTGGTAACTAACTTCGTTCAACAAATGTCTCACAGAGTGGACAGTGACGCATGGGTTTTTCGCGTGGATGGGTGGATTCATGCTCTACTTCAAGGATAAACCGCGAGCCACTCTTACACCCGAGGAGCTTGAACGCTTTGTTCATGAGGGCTCCGTGGAAATTCCCATCATCGCGGAGGCAGACATAGAAGATCGAAGCAAGGGCGACGTATTATCCAAAAGCATCGCCATCCTTCAGCTGGCGTGGTTCGTCCTCCAGTTTGTCACTCGTTGCGTCCAGAACCTTCCGATAACACTGCTTGAAGTCGACACTCTGGCTGTAGCTACTCTGACCTGTATTACCTATAGCTTGTGGTGGAAGAAGCCTAAGGATGTAAGACGTCCTTATACTGTTCATTGGAAAGCAACCTATCCACCAAGCAAATTAGCCTACGAGTATGTCATCAATATTCTTGTTTTGAATTGTTCTTACTCGCCTGCATTCTAGCAATGTCACTGCACATTTATCCTGTAAAGTCTGGCGTGATTATGTTTTCTTGCCATTTATCCCTGGGGGAGTCTTATGGGTGTTGGCGTGTTCGTTTCTCCTCGTGCTGTCCAAGAACGTCGGGTTCCGTCTCTAGGTGGCTATGACGATCGTCGTCGTATGATTATACCTCTCATTGGATGTTTTACTGTGCCATTGTTTGGAGTGATACATTGTCTGGGCTGGAATGTTTTGCTTCGGGGCACGCAACAGATACTATGGCGTGCGGCTTTACTTACCATGGTGTCTACATCAGTATTCAGTCTGCCATTTGCCTATGCCGCATGGCTGAACCATGACGCGTTCGTCCGGAAGAGCAGTTGGCACGTTGTTATGATTGCCGCCTGGCTCATATATTGCTACACGCGTTGCGCTTATTGTAATCACGATACTGAGCTTACAATCACTCCCTCCTGGTGTGTATGATACAATAGCTTGGACCAAGTTTATTCCACATCTATAGTTTGCTTGTACTTACGTCGCGATCATGATTATGAGTTTGCTGCTTCTTGCTTAGACTGGAATCACTAATTACAGATGCGAGCACAGCTCGGGTAAGTCTCAAGGCAAAGTCATGCTGCATATTGTGAAAGAACGAATGACGAACGCGGTTCCAATATATGAATGCGACCACATCGTTACCGTATAGATAAGCCGCATCCAATCGAGGAGGGGTTGTAGGCATCATATGTACATTTTACAAAGTCTCGCGCCACAGCTGCAGTAGCATGGCCATGAGGTGAGGTTTAAGTTGCTGGAATCACTATTCTGAGATGCGAGCATGGTTCGGGCTAGCTTGAAGGCTATGCTGCATGATTTGTGAAGGAACAACCAACAGGGTTCCAATATCTGAGCGCGACCATAACACCGTCTAGACAAATTGCAGTGCATACAATCGAGGAGGAGATGTGAGTATCTTATGCACATTTTGTGCGAAGTCTATTAGCGCGCCGCAACTACAGTGGTGTGAAAGGGAGGTGAGCTTTACAGGCGTCAAAGATACTGCAGCGGAAAATGCAATTAAAAGCTGGTCTCCCAGAACCTGTGTTGATGGAGCTCGATGTTCATCCGGCAACGCGCAACATGTTGATCCAGCGTGATCATGCAGGGACGCGATTGAGCTAGTTGTTAGAAGTTATCTAGATCGTGAAAGTCACTCGATTCATTGAATTGGGACAGTCTCAACCAATCGAAGAAAGATTAACATTCCTTCGTATTCGAATTCAGGAGTCGGAGATCATTTCTTGAAACTAACTCACCCCAAACGAACGTGCCAGGAGATCATATGTCAGCGCATGACATTATAAATATTGCGGCTGTTTGCATTTGGTCCATGAAGAATAGAGTGATGTGATACAATTGGAGAGTAATTATATGTCAAGGACCTACCAGGATGATGCGAGTCGTGAGCTTCGACCTGGTCGAACTTCACCTATCAGCTTCGCCAGCTCTTGAAAATTTCCGAGGACAAAGTCCACCTCACTGCGGTCCTTG